AAAATGTGAAACCAGGGTCTGTTCCCCAGAAGTGGTGGACACGTGTCCAATATTTTGGAGTGTAGAATTACCAAAACCAATTTGGTCCAAATTCATGACGCACCAACCTGGTCATCCCCTTGTCAGGTAGTACGTCATAGACAAAAGCAATATTTTGGTCTACATAATTACTGATCTATACATATATAACTACTGTCTAATTATATACATTTTTACAGAAGGATTTTTGATGGAATAATGAAAACATTGTCAGTTCCTCTGTAGGAAAATCACTGTGCCAAATATTAAAGCTGACGAATTTTCAATTTTCAACACGTCGAGGGAAAATATGTGGTAATTTTGTTTTAGAATTGGCAGAAGTTGTTAGAGGAGTTGCAAGTTAGTTTAGTTTGCATAGTGATATTGTAGCGGCTGGAAGCCGGGCAATGCGGCACGTTCCCCCCCGTGCCAACTGTATCCCACCGCCTATCCTCAGACGCGGAAACGCCCTGTTCCACTCCGCCATGAATTTGAAATTACAAGGAATTCTAATTATCCTCGGTGGTCCGGGCGGGAGTGGTTCGGATGTAAATTTGCGGGTTCGTTACAAGCTCATTCCTTTCCGGATTAAAGAGGAGGGTGGATTATCTTTTAAATTTAAAAAGCGAGTATCTCGAGGGTGCCCTACTTGGAAGGTCGAACCTCTATTTGCAATACCCGTAGCTATACCTTCCTCGAGTGGTGGCCCTACTTGTCCCTCTTTAAATTTCGGTACCAGGAGATATTTGACTTTTAAATCGCCGTATCCCTCTTCTGAAAGGAAAAAGGATAATCCTTCTTTTTTTCTTAAGCTAACGAAATGTTCCAAAAATAACATTAAAAAGTGTAACTATTACAACAAATCGACTCAAGATGGTCGATAAGTACGTTCTATATATTTTTTTACGTTTAGATTGCTTATTTTGAAGTTTGAATTTGGCGTTACCGGCGACATTTCTAAGGGCATTCCAACCATGATGAAGAAAGTTATAAAAAACAATAATACATCAAAATGTCCTACTATTTTTTATTCGTTAATAAAAATCTGAATAGAATCTTAATTCTTGCACCGTTGAACTCAGGAGAAACCTAAACGAAACCATTTGTCTAATACCATTTTCGACATGCTTGGTTTTTAATGTTTTTCTAGCGTATTTTTGTGGTTTATTCATTTAATTAATCAACTCAGCAGGGTTGGCAAAAAACATACATAAATAACTAAATAAAAAAAACATTTAAAGTTTAGTTTGTCTATGTTGCTCATTCTAATGTTTGCATGCTTAAGTTTTGAATTGTTCAACCGGAGAGGAGTGACGACTTAATAAAAAATATGTATTAGATCCGTTATATTTCGTTGTCCAATTGACCAAATAACTTCTTTCAATTAATTAATCTTTATGTAAGGTATTGGTTGAAATGAAAAAGTTAGTGTCACGAGCGGATTCGAACCCACGACCTTCCGCTATTACGCCGCTGCTCTATCCACTTAGAGTCCCGCTCGTGACACTTACTTTTGCTTTCAACAAATACCTTACATGAAAATATTAATTAATTAAAAGAAGTTATTTGATCAATCGGACCACGAAATATAATGGATTTCATAAATGTTAATTCTACTATAAGTGTGATTATACAATAGAATGTTCAAACAAATCATGAGAAATTCGTCTGTCTTTTAATGCAACCTAACGCAAATCAATACAAAATTTCACCTATAACATAAACTTTTACATAATTAGCAGGTATTTGTTGAAATGAAAAAGTTAGTGTCACGAGCGGGATTTGAAGTGGTTATAGCATTAGCCGAAGGTCCTGGGTACGAATACCGCTCGTGACATTAACTTTTTCATTTCAACCAATACCTTACATAAAGATTAATTAATTTAAATATGCATTAGAGTTTTTTCTTGGTTACCGTAAATTTTTAAAATATGTTTGAAAACCCGTGTTGAATGTTTGTTATATAATTTTATGTTAAAAAAGCAGGGATAATGCCAATTTGAAAGAAAACCATCTTTAACTTCCGGCAAACTCTAGGTTTTCTTTGAAATTAGCCTTCTTCTTAATTTTTACTATAAAAAATTGATTAAAACCAAGAATGACGCCTCTTTACGAAAGGATGTACAATTGCGACCCACAAAGTTAAGCTTAGCGGCTAAGAAATCCACTGTTCTCCGAACCTTGTCCAAGAAGGGGCTGAAACTATCAGGAATGCCCCTGTCAAAAAAAAAAAAAATTCGTTCGGCTGGACTCAATGCTAACGTTCACAACTCATATTAATGACCTAATCATAAATTTTGGTCGGTTTTTAACGTTTTTCTAGCTCATTTTGACACGCATAATTCTTGTAAAATTTGGCATAGGGCTGTTTACTAATGTAAGATATCGGTACAAATATTAACAGATAAAAACTATTTTGTCCCTTGTTTAACAAAAACTTAATTTTTATTTTATTCAGTTGAATAGAGTCGAATCTATAGAAAACAAAATTATAACAAAATATTTAAAGTAGTTGTATCTGTTATTTTGGGGTGGACGTGCTGCATTCATGCACATTTCAAGTCAGGTTGTTGGGATGTATAGAAAGTAAGAAAAACATCCAAATGGAGCTTTTCCCTTGAATTAAGTTTACGAATATAATTATTGCTCTATCATATTAGAGAATGTTGGTTCTACAGGAAACACATTTTGCATCTAAATTTTTTTCTTGTAGGAGTTAGTGTTCAGCTTAGGCCTTACACCATTCACCTCGTGACGAAGAATATAGGATCAGAAAACGACTAAACTATGCGTTCATCACACCAGAAATCCCTCATACCTTTTAACAAAAATTTTTTTTTATGATGACGATATAATCATCGAAAGCTCGGCAAAGACTTTAAGAAGAGTTTGTCGTTTCTGTTGTGACCTCACTGAAGATCCTTTTGTTCAAGTTGTTCAACAAACAGAAAAAATTATAAAAAATAAAATAACAAAAAAATTAAATGTTTCTAAATGTATCAATAAAGACGGACTATTGACAAATTACAATAACAAACTAGATTGATAATGTGACCGTTTTGAAACTTGAATAACGGCCAAACAAGAAAAAAAATCCAATATCCTTCCACAACACCGATATGATTTATTACATGAAACTTTTCAATTTTTAATTTTCCATTCGGTTTTTGTTCAGACAATAATTTAGCTTTTGAAGCAATTAACTCTTCAAAAACAGGCGAAAATGTTTTTTTTTTTTAACGTGGTCCTTTCCAATTTATCCAATTTAATAATTTATCATTATTAAACAAAAATAGAATTACTACAGTTTTTCTAAACCTGAACAATGGTCAAAATTAAATCTATTACAGACATAGTTGGAAGTCTGCTGGATAGACAAATGTAATTAACAATGACGAGGGAGGACTCATGTCAAGAGGTCGAAAACGTTCTGTTAATAAATAAAATTCTATGCTACATTCTATGTTCAACAACTTACATACAAATACTATTTGTATGAATGTATTTATTTGCGTGAATGTCGAAGTATGCATGGGTGTGGCTGTGACGGAATATCACGTACCCACAGGCCCACCAAATTAGTACAGATATGTTATATGTTTGTAGTATCATGTGACGGGTCATTGGCATTTCGTTGGTACTATACTTCCGAATTGTAGTGGCTTGTCCAGAATGAATGTATTTATTAGCGTGAGAGGTGATGCGTGAAAGGACGTGGCTGTCGAGGAATATCGAGTACTCCACAGGCCCGTCAAACAATTTAGATTAGGATAGGTTAGTGTGTGAGTGGAACTTGTACGGTTTGAACGTATTTATTAGTGTGAAAGACAGGGGGCCGCAAGATCACGATAATCTTCCGACCTCAAATTTAGTTGTAGTATAGGTTAGCAAATTAGTATGAATGTGAATTATAAAAATGTGTAAATATTATATCTATGTATTTTAATTTATCACGTGTGGGAGGGTAACTACAAACAAGATAACGAATCCTTTATTAGGTGAATTAGGTGAATCGGAAGGCAACAGTTGTCTAGTTGAGGCATAAGAAGACTCAGAAAAGAATATACACATAAGATAGATAAGAAGACAAATGCGAGAAGGTTTATATGTGAGGCGCCGGCGATTACCCAGGTAGTTAGCCGGCAAAAAAAAAAAAAAAAAAAAAAAAAAAAAAAAAAAAAAAAAAAAAAAAAAAAAAAAAAAAAAACCTACAATACAATTAGTAAAATAATAAAATAAGCCGCAAAAATTTTCACTATTATTTACAAAAAATATATAAATAAGGATTAGTTTTTCTCATATTTTTTAGATTATATAAAGCAATTTCAATTAGCCGTTAAAAATAAGATAATATATTATAATCTTGGTCGTATATTAAATTTTATATTTCTCTTTTGTTTATGTAAATTATACAATATATCACATTTTCTAATGATTTATTAAACTACGTACCTCGTACCGTATTTCCTTTTCACCCCGTATAATAAATTACAATGAGAAAAAATCATAATATCTTCTAAGACGTTATTGGTAAAATGACTAAGTGTAAAGGTGTCAGGTGATAAAATATGTGCTGAGAAATATATTCAACACTGTTGTCTATAAAATTTCAGATCCTTGATCAAGTAATTTTAAATGTATGTTGTCCCGCAATGGTCAAAAAGCTTACTTAAAAGTGTTTTTTTACGAGTTCTGGCTTAAGGTCAGTGTTTGAAATATCTGGTTCGTTCAATAAAAATATCAATACAGATAAAAACTGAAACAGTCTTTATCTTGTTGAAACGGTAAATGATTGTCTCATTCACTCATCATCTATTGAATTCTGCAATAAAGCTAAGTCAGTTCTACGTGATGGTCTATAATTACAAACCACACAGCTTCCGGCCCTTTTTGCAGGATGGTTGTAGCTTTTTGTTGTCACATAAATCCATCAAGTATCAAAGTAGTATTTATTTAATATCGTTGTTTATTGTTTTTTGAAGATTCTCGTGAAATGAGCTTGGAGGATTTAATCGCGAAAGTTAAAGAACACGTCAAGACGAAGTTCCAACAGCAAGGAGGAAGCCTTCAGACGACAATGCCCCCCGAAGACCTGCCAGTCTTCGGCAGCAACTTAGTGACGAATAGCACAGCCCAACTCGGAGGCACAGCTTACCTCCACTGCCGCGTCCGCAACTTAAACAACAGAGCGGTAAGCTCATGGCAAAAACAATTATCTTCTCCTGAGTTTCTAAATGATTTTTTTTTTCAGGTGTCCTGGGTTAGGCGTAGGGACTGGCACATATTAACGTCAGCTATGTTCACCTACACGAATGATGAAAGGTTCCAGGTGCTCCACGCCGAAGGTTCCGACGACTGGACGCTCCAGATCAAATACGTCCAGAAAGACGACAACGGAGCGTACGAATGCCAGGTAAAATCGTTTTTAACCGGTCAAAAACATAACACCGTAAGTAGCAAAATTTCTAATAAACGACTCAAAAATTTAAGATCACAGCTTTATTGTCCATGGCAGATCCATCGGCCGTTGAACGCTTGTTGGATTGATACCATGAACTGAGCTAAATGATGGTGGTTGTCTGGATCCCGAAATAATAAAAACTCATTTAAAACTATATTTTAAAAAAGGGGAAGCGGCAATGGGCCGAATCGGTAGAGAGCTTCTAACGTATCAAGAGCACTGGCCGTAGGTGGTCCTCGGAGAATCAGAATCTGGAAGAGTGGTCATCCTCACGCGATTAAAAATAGGCCAAGCGAGGTTAACACACGGACACTTAAATTAGGGCTAAAGACAGCGTAAGTGATGGGCATGTCGAGAAAAATTACTCGATGAGTATCGCTTATTTGAAAGGTGCCTTGCCTTGGCTCCATATAAAAGAGCGTAGGAAAGCCTCCAGATTTGGGATTTGTGGGTGAGAATGGCAGCAAGTATTTGGGTACCCTGTTCTTATTTTTGGTGGAAACGGGATTGTTTTATTTTATGTAATGTGTCCGATTTTATGTATTGCGAGAATTTTTGTAACTGTATGATACAAATTATACAGAAAAAACACCATTTAATCAAACAGTTTGACTAAAAATCAATTATATTTTTTACCACGATATTTTAAAGAAATTTATAAAACCAAATGTGAACTAGAAAAAAAACTTTTCGATACTGCCCTTCGGATTTATGTATGACGTCCCACACTATCTACGCACACACTATCGTCACAGTATATGAGACTGAATGTAATTATTTGGGTGAATATATAGTGTGAGAGAGACGATAGCGGAATATAGAATATCCCATCAATCCTTAATTTTATTAGTTATATAATAAGTGATGAGGGTGATGAAGGCATATCATATATAGTAACAAATAGTACGGGAGTGAAAGTGGGAAAGGTTTTTTTTTACTTCATTTATTCTCATCTACGACTGCACACGTATTATATACAACTAGCAGATTGGATTTCAATCTGTGATTGTGAAATTAGAGGCGTTATCGAAATAGCTACCCATCGGTAGCAACTCCAGATTAATAACAGGGTCAGAGGTTTGTCCATATTCTTTTCAGTCACCTACGGGATAACGGGATAATTGTGGGGAATAGAATCAATCGTATTTGTATGTTAGTTTGATCTTGTAATTTTCTATGAAAAAGTATGTAATATGTTTTGATGGATGAAAACACATTTGGCATGTGAAGATCTCTCTAAAGTGTGTTATTGTTTACGCAAAGAGGGGCAGAACCAATTAATCTTAAAATTTTGGTAATGTGTAGTGTTTAGACACCATTAGTTGATGATTATTTGGACCGCCCGTAATTTGGAACGCATCTCACGATTTCCAAATAATAATTAAAATTTTGGATTGAAAACTTTTTAAATTTTGAACATTTGGCTGTAAGCTTGGCACCTAAACATCCAAATAGGTTTGAATAGGTTTGTGTAGGTCAAAAGTGTTGATTTTAATTGCAATTTTGATTGCCTGTTTAGTAGGTAATAAAGCATTTTAAATTGTTTGTTAATTGTCTGTGTTTTAATCGTGTACATGTGGATTCCAAGTTAGTATTCTATCAAATGTAAGTCCTAAATAGTTAACCTCGTCGGATTGAGTAGCAAGTATTGTGTAAGTATATGCTAGGACAAGTTTCACTCCGGAGTGTAAAGGTAACTTTATTTTTCAATTGTTTCATTTTTTCAATTGATGATAGTGGTTTTGTAACATAAGTGAAGCTTGTGTAGAAGAAAGATGTTAAGTGCATTCTCATTTGTGGGCATATCAGAAGTTTTTTTTTTTTTAATTGGCCTTATGATCTTTGCATATTAGCCATGACGAATCTCTTATATATGTTGTTCAAATTGGGGGTTATCGGGAAAAAAGGGCTAGAGGCGACGGTGGGAATCGAACCCACGACCGCGGCGTGAGAGTCTCTCATGCTAACCACTCGGCTACCGCGGTCCTATCAGAAGTAAAAATTTATACAACAGCGGAGCGAGTATTGATCCATATGGCACACCTGCAAGAACTTCTTCCATCTCAGAAGTCTCCGATCCTTGGTATACTGCGAAAAATATCTCCTTAAAGTACATTGTGTCTCTCGAGGCCTGCCAGTAATTTGTTGTAAATTACACACATTGTGAATACAGGCGGGATAGACTAAACCTGCAATGCACGCCTGTCTTGAAGAATGGTTGGCATTAACAGCAGATAATGTTTTATCCCTTCTTTCCAAGCCATATTCTACCGAAGATTTACTTCACATCTAGAAATACACAGAAGCAGAACTCATTTTTTTTCGGTGGTACTGCCGGATAACATTTAAATAATGGCCCTCGTGCCTCGGGATATCTACCTCAAAGAGGTAGTACGATAATGTACGAGCCTTAATTGAAATCCAGTGGCTCCCTTGACGTACAATCTGTTTTAATTCTCAGCGTACAGTACACCTGTGGGTCGGAATTGGATGATGGCTGGACGATGATGAAGTCCTCGGGAAGAGTTAACCACTCAACCCGGAATCCGGCCATAAGTGACTGGTCTCAAAAACGGACTTCGGTATATGTCAGTCTGTACACCCTGATGGAGAGGCGTGAACATGAGATGAATCGTATGTTTACAAAGTCGTGGACAATAGCTGACTATCATTCGGGTGCCATGGGAATTTTTTTTTTGTTAAATCGTACAACATGATTACTCAAAATGCAACATGATATAATCAACTTGCGAGACACCCGTCGTGTTTTAATCGTTAGAGAAAAGTTTAAAAAACTATTGAACAAGACTATTTGAATTGCAGTTTCCATAACAACAAAGGCTTCCACCCCATTTCCGACCTGGCGTTATTTATGATCTGGCTGACGACGTGAAGCGAATCTTCTGGAAAACCTTTAGACGGCCAGTTTAAAATTCACAGCCTATTATACACCACCTTGTTTTCTTAATAACGTCTATTTCAGAAACCGTTCGAATTAAATATACAATAGTCTTTTCATGGCTTCTTTTTAAATTGATTGCTTTAAAATTAGTCAATTAGTGTTTTAGGGTTTTCATCATTTTCAGCTGAACTTTGAATTGAACGTTGTTTTTTTTCTTATTAATTATTCTTATTAAGTCGTTAATAACTGACAAAGTTATAACTACACTGGTGGGCAAATTAACTCACTGCCATTAAATTTTAAAATATTTAGCTTTAATTATATTTTGTATATCAAAAATAGGATTGGTTATAAAAATAAGACATTTAAGAAGAACACTTTTATTACCTAATTTAAAAAAATATTGAGTAAAGATTGAAAAAACACTAGAAAATTAAAAATTAAAAATAAATAAAAAAATAAAAATGTTTAAAAAAAGTTTTTGTCCCATTTAACACCGAGTATTTTCACTGTGGCACGTATGATATACGCCTTTGCGTTCGTAGGAAAAGATTTCTGATACAATAGTGAATAATTTTTTTTTCATTCATCAAGAGCAGCCGTGGCCAAAATGGCTAGGATATTGGGATCTGGATTTCGCCGTCGTACTCGTCGCTTACGTTGGTCCCAAATGTGTTCGATTGGATTCCAACAGGCATTTCAGGTCAGCCACACCAAGCACTCAATTCCAATCTACTCAGGTATTCATCCACAATAAGTACTCTATGGGTCTCTGGCTTCATTAGCAATAATCTCTCATGGATTTGAGGGACCAATGTGTCTACATATTTTTCGATTATGTCTTGTTAGTACCTGTGGGAAGATTCTTTCTCGCACAACAGCCAATTTGGTGGGGAGGTCCGAGGCAATGCCACCTCAGAACGATAATGACCTACCATGGTACCTGAGGAACCAAACAGCATGGGATGTACCTTTTTCCTGAGCACTCCACATGAAATCACACCCATCCCAAGATTGGAGGCCAAATCTAACCTCCCGAATATTCCAATGTCCAATTGCCATTTTCCCGTGCCTGGCCATTTTCGTTGCTGTTATAAGGTTTCCGCGAGCCGAGTACCTGGCCCTGAGTTTATTTTTATCTGTCCTTTTTTTTACAGTCCTAGAGAAAGTCGAAATACATCGGACCGGTCATATCAGATTTATTATCTCATTTCCCGTAATGCTGAGGTATATTCGAGCCTGATGACGGATGAATCTATCATCTCTCCCATCTGTAGACCTAGGTAGACCATGTTCTGACCTTCTATTGGGTAACCCTGTATCTATGTAGCGCCGAAGAACCCTTCATATTGTAGAATGATTTACAGTCAGTGCCCTTGCGACTTCACGCTGGCTGTATCCTTCTTCTAATAATTTGTACGGCACTGATGCTGTAATACTCACTGAAATGCCTGACTGGAGCCATTGAAAAAAGATTAAGGATAAGAATAATATCAAATAAAATCAAGGAAATAAAAAGATTAACTGAAGGGGATCTTAGGAGTAGCAGAATGGAAGGGCATAGTGCTATTTTTGTTCAAAGAGATTAATCAGTGCAAACGAAAGTAAAGTAAGTAAACAAAACATTATTTACTGTTTATTTTGAATACGATATCTCTTAATTACCTATAACTAATGTAAAAAGATGATAATTTTAACTTTAAACTTAGTAAATGGAGTGATGCTTTAAAGTTATCTATCAGTGTATATGTGCAGTAAACTATGAGAAGCCATTTTTCTTAAACGTGCAACGGCTATGTTTCAAACTTTCCACCTTTTATATAAAAACTACATAAAAACCAGTCGGAATAATATATTATCCATTGAGCGAGTGTGCAACAATATATTGTCCCTTCTCACTCCCTCATTGGCGGGCTTAAAACTTTAGAAATTGTGGGATTAGAAAAAAGATCGGACCGTTTTGTTGAAGTCGACGTGACCCTGCGATCTTGACCAGGCAATAAACAATACGCTTTTTCACAGGCTATTAGTTAGCAACAGCTTCTGAGTC